CCACTACGGCGGCGTTACGAGTTGCGTAATAGGTCAGTCCTCGTCGCTGTCAGACAACTCCTTATCACTGTCAACAGCCCAAAGCATTTCATCCTCGGTACCGTCCATGGCATTCGAGATGCCACATTTTTTGAATGCCTTGATCACCATGGCTGATGGTATTGCACACCACGCGTCCTTCACCCACGCAGCGAAGTCTTGCAGAGAGGCGCGCTTCATCCTGTTGCCTGGCGTGAAATCATGTCGTTCATTGATCAGCCAGTCGGTGTAAAGCGCCCGCATCTTGTCCTTCAACGGCTTGTTCAGGCAGACATCCAGCGGTTGAAGTTGGGACGTCATGCCGCCAGGTATGACTACAAGGTCCGTATTGCACGCAGCGAGCTTGTTCTTGATCCGCTCGTCGAGATGGCACCTGAACGCGTCGAGCACGAGCATCGCTCGCAGGCCCAAACTGGCGCCAGGCCGCTTCCGCCAGACGTGATGGATCCAATCGGCGACCAGGTCCGTCGTCATCCAACCTTTCTCGTTGGCTCGCACGATCACACCACTCGGGAAAACGACTCCTTTCGGGAGAGTTTTCCGCTTAAATATCAGGTACGGGGGAAGCTTGTGACCATCTGACGTGCAACAGAGCATTGCCGTCACCCTAGTTTTTTCGTGGCCCGATGTCAGCACGCGAACTTGTTTCGCCCCCTTCTTCTCGACGGTTGTGGTGCCAGGCATGTCGAAATACAGAGGCGTCTGATCGGCATTCCCGATTTGCCCAAGCAGGTAGCCATTGTTGTGCCGCAAGTTGAGGACGAACCTCTGAAAACTGAGGAGCTTTTCTTCGTACTCCTCCGGCAACTTTTGGCATATGCCCGTTCGCCTTCGGAGGGAAAATCCTTTCCTTTTCATAAAGTTACTCAGCCAGCACCTGCTCGCTTTGAACTGGCTCCGCGTTAGCCCTTTTTCCAGGGCTAACTGCATAGCCCGCACTTGAAGCAGTTCCGTCGTCACGGGCCGCTGTGCCGCTCGCTGTTCAAGCACATACTCGGCGAGCAGCTCTTCAATTTTCGGAAACCGACCCTGCTGCGGTCCATTGAAGCCTTTACGTGACGCCTTGCAGTCCACAATCTTCTGCTTCTGTTTCCGCCATTGTCGCACGCACGTTTCAGGAACTCCGAACGACCGCGATGCGGCCCGATTTCCGTCCGTTTCTGCACACGCGATTACTTTTCTTTTGAAAGCAGCATCGTGGTGCACTCGTCGAGTCTTCGGAGTCAGCCCTTCCATGCCGTCGATGTGAATGCACTACGATACGACGAACTCCTCAGCACACGTACGAAGTGCCGCACATGGTAAACACATTGGCAGAAATGGCCGACGTGCCATGCCAACGCCTCCTCTAGAAAGATGCCCGAGGAATGCCTCGCGCTTCCAGCAGAGTTGGCCTGCCTTCAGTTTTAAACAAGCTCCGCGCGGTGGCGCTCGCGACCAACACTATCATCACGGCGACGGGCGATACTAGCCCAAGCGTTTCTCATCTGCGGCCCATAGGGGCGCGTAAGTCGAGAGTTGTTCGAGACCTTCAACTGTGCACCACTGTTTTGGAGGCTATGCAAAGTGTTGCGTTGTTGCACCGTCCGCCACAGGTGACGCTAGCGACCAAGAACATTTTCAAAATGAAGGAGAGAAAGGGCGTGGCAACTGTTTTTTTTTCTCATCCGGCAGGCATCTTCTTAGAGAAGGCGTGGGCCATGCCGACGCACATAGGGGGCGGCCATTTTTGACGTGTCGATGGCAATAGAATGACCCTATTCATTTTTTTTTTGTTTCGTACTCGATTCTAACGCGCATGCGATTTATGAACTTGCTTAACCGGAAAAAAGGTGCGCGTTAGATTCGAGTAATTACGGTATTACTGCACAAAGACTGAAACTGATGAGTAACCCTTCACTGTTGTAACGTTTCTTTCTTCTAGTGTTTTCCTATTGGTGCTCAGTACTTGAAAATTATTCGAAAAATACTCTGTATTCTGAATATGTGCTACACTAAAACCACATCATAACAAATTTGCATCTTACTATACAGTAGAACCCCTTTATAAGAGGAGACAGTGATGTAATAAAAGGCAGCAGCGTGCCTGTGCAAAATAGAGGTTCATCAAAAAATGAGAGCTGAGTACCGTGCTTATGAGAGGCATCCCCTGTAAGGGAAAAGAATCACTCCTAGATGCAGGTCTTATACAGTCAAACCTCATTAGAACGTACCCACCTCAAAGAGACCAACAACTGCCCACAACATGAAATGATATGACTGCACAGATGGAAAGATTGTTCCTCATAGTGAGTCAAACCAACCCTGTTTTTCCTGTGCGAAGTGAAGTTGTAATTTTGTTTCTTCATTGAACTTTGCAAAAAATGGCCTTTGGCTCCACCTGGTGGCAGAAATTTGAATTACTATTTTATGTACCCTGTCGCGTAATCATAAACTAGTATACCCGGTGCACAAATTTTTTTGTTCATATTGAAATATTGCTTGCTTCTTTACAGTAAACAATATTACTCCATGAAAATGTACATATAGGCCTGCGTTAGTACGCAATAAAGTGCTGCTGCCTTCACATGGCGTGTAGATCCCATGCTCGTCAGCGCTTTTTGAGCAACTTTTCTGCATGCTCATGAGACCGTGTGCATAGTTTCCGAATCGCTAAGGTTTTGGAGCGACATATTTTCTCTACCTACTCTTCGTCTCAGTAACGATGTGTACTGCTACTCGGCACAGTCACGCATGCGCGCAGTGACATTATGGGGACTTGGCTCGTGTGTCGTAAGAGCGACGACAAGACAAGCCATCCACGACACAGACGAAACAAGCTTGTGCGCAGGTGCACGCAACGTGATACAAATACAGGGGAGGTGTGTAAAGTCACATCTTGCCATTGTAACGGTTTATTATTTTCATAAATAGTTGTAAAGCTCATAATAATTGTGGTTAAGCATGGTTACAGGAACTCCTGGTAAATCAGAACAATGACAGCGTGCAGAAGTCACTGGAAGGGCTACCGGCATCATTATAAATTCTCAGCGTTGCTGAACATCCATGTTGAAAGCCTTTACGATCGAAAAATACTGCTTATAAAATAACTACATGCTTTTGGGATTAACTACTGCAGCTACGAACACTACAAAGGGTAAGGTTTTTGTAGTGCCAGAAAAAACTAGGTCGAAAAAAGTCTGTTGTCGGTTTGTTTAAGTGTACTAGCGGTTAGAACGTAGTTACGACGAATCTCTGACAGAGTTCGACTTATGCGTGCCGGTTAGTATATACTAACTGCATATTTGCACCACAAAACTTTAATGCGCTGCTGAACTTGCAGACGCCACAATGTGCCATGGACGGTTTTCTGTCATGTTGTGTCATGCTGAGATCAGTCAATCAGTTATTCCAACTCTTGCGCGATTGTGATGATGACTTTTCTAGTACACATCGGGAAAAAATGAAGGCGAGGTGGCGACCATAGACAAACGTGCCAGTATGACTAATCACCGCGAAAAGCCTCATCACAGTATGCATCCCCAGTAATCTGCTCGAGCACATGTGTGGCGTCACGTAACTTTAAGCCTGCTGTACGCATTCAGTAGGCGGACTTCCTGAATGCGCTGAGCCGCTAATCACTGTCCCGGAGTTTGATTACAGTTCACAAGCACTGCGTTGTATATACTACCTGTATCTTTTCCTGTTTGTTTCCCCCCTACAATAATGCCCAGTTGGGCGCTGTAGGTATCTGAATAAATAAATAAATTATGCCAACATGCGCACCACACAGCAAGCACAGAGCTGTTGTAACCATGTTGCACACTTTTATTTAGCGACAGCCCAAATGCACCTCTGTCCGCTGCCAGGACTACTAGAGCATCGCGGAAAGTGCATACTTTAACATCGTGCAAAGCGCACTGCTTTAGGAAAGCTCGTCGTCACTGCGTTAACCCAGCAGGCTACTCACCGCATCTGAGCATGGCCTGAAGCGGAGTGGGCACACTCTGCAGCAAGCGTCAGCATTCAAGGTTCAGCAGTCATGGTGTGCGCCGAGTAAGCGATGCACTGCATGCAACTAGCAATGCAGTAAACAATTTGGCTCTCTGTGATCGTACTGCGCTTTAAGAAAGAAACTGCATCATTTTACGCTTAGAAGCAGACTCTGTCGGTGCACTACGTTCTGTTTCCCGGACCCCACTGTAGTTTCTTAATGCTCCTTGGCGTCGTGACCGCTTGCTATCGGGCGGTTATGCGAGTTAGAATCTTTTCAGCACATTAGGGAAAAGAAAGAACTAGCTTTGCGGTGGCCACTTTTGGCAGTATTTCCTGTGGCACTAAATTTATTCCATTGTTGGCGACAACGGTGCATGTTAGGAGATGCTAATTTGAAGCTGGTGGTTGATGCGTAGTGTGTTTAGTGCGTAGTGTGTTTAGTGCGTAATTATGCAGGCATCACCGGCAGGTTTGTGATAACGGGGTTTCACCATAAAGCAATTCAACTGTATTGAAAAGTTTTTGATATATTGTCAACACTGCATTTATTGCAAGACAATTTTTCATTTACTTCGTTTTACAAGACATTGCTTTATATCGATGTATGCGATTCGAGTATCAAATCGAATAGAAAGCTATTTGAATCGTTATTCAAGATTTTTTAATACACTCAAATTTTGATATAACGAACCTGGACATAAGGAAATGTCAGTTATACTGAAGTAAATTAAGAATAGTGTTCAGAATATAATTCAATGACGAATTTTTAGATATAACGAACTTATTTTCATTAAGATGCGATTTGGTTATGAGGATGTCTGTGTGCATTCGCCCGCCCCTGTTTTTCTTTTTTCTTCTTTTGGACATATTTGACAGTACTTGAATTACTTGCACTCGTAACGTCAAGCCTTCACCGTTGCTAGTGCCTGCTCCGTGACAGTTTTAATCTGTAAAAGCTGCGGGTGCGCGTCTTTCTTTCTCGGCAGGCGGAAGTCCTGGCCAGACGAGCGGCCGCAAAAGCCCTACGTCGAGCAGCAAGCGCAAGAAGCTGTCGGCGGCAGCATCGCAAGCGTTTGGCAACGGCGAAGAGGAGGATTCGGCCGAGGCGCGCAAGAAGCGCAAGCTGGTGCCCCTGGAGGACGAGGAGGCCCACAAGCAGCTGGATCCGCAACAGCAGCAGCAGGTGCAGCACATGAACACAGGAGGAGAAGCGCAAGCACATCAAGAGCCTCATCGACCGCATACCCACCTCCAAGGAGGAGCTCTTCAACTTCAACTTCGACCGAAGCCTCGTGGACAATGTGAGCTGCCTCCATTTAAAAATCCCCTTACAAAAGACACCAGTGTGCCCACTGTAAAATGCGGCTGGATAAGAAAATGCCTCTTATAAGGGAGTTTAACTCCACAGTGAAACTACCAATACAAGAGACACTGCTTTAACGGACACAAGTAGGGCTACGTTGAAATAGTGTTTAAGATAATTCTAATGAAGTTACTCAAATCTCATTACACTTAGACCTTGATATAATGAAATATTGGTTACATTGAAGTAAATGAAGAATAGTCTTATAATATATATAGTGTTAGGACTACAGCTTTATAAGGAGTTTTTGGATATACCAGACCTATTTTTGTGTAGGGTGCAACTTCGTTATAATAAGGTTTAAGTGTGTAACAGTTTCATCTTCCAAGAAAATTGCTTCGTTATAACCAGAAATTTGTTATATTCGTCGTTCGTAACACCACTTACTGCAACACTTTTTTTCAGCTACTTCGTTATATCCGTATTCGTTATGTTGAGGTTTGAGTGTATCCTGCTTATAAGTGATACCTGATAGAAAAGATGAATCGCTCCCTGGTGCATGTCTTATATATATATATGTGTTCAACTGTATTTGATGTGCATTCAAAGTTCGCTGCGCACCCCTATTAAATGCCGTATTTACTCGCGAAATGAACCACCCTTTTTCCTATTTTCCAGAAAGGTTGATGTTAATTTGAGGAGGGTTTATTGTGCGAGCAAAAAAAGTCACTGGAGGTATAACAGCGATAATTTTGCATGGCGTTTTTACTTGTTTTGGCCCGCGAAATTTGTGGCGAATCGTTTTCGTAGCCCGACGCTACGAAAACGAGGGGGGCATGCATTTGTTTTTTGCTCTGCTATCGCACCACTGTGCTTGCATGGTGCTCTGCCGCAAAAAGCCCGACATTTAAATTTTGATTGACGTCGTCCGCATTTGTACTGCTTGCAACTGTTTAGCATGGTTGTGAAACTATTTTTTGATTTTAATTTCATCGTTATTTTGAGATACAAGGCTTAACATTGTTTCGATCATCGACATTGGCTATCACATCGAAATAAAATAAACAGATACATTAAAAAAAATTTTTAAAGGACCAAGGTGGGGAGTGGGTTCATTATGTGAATAAATACTGAACTTGAAAGGGCAGCAAGCTTGAAATGTAGACACTGATGCACAAATACCAAGCCTTTCAAATGTGAAAGTATAACAAGTAGAAAGCCTAAATTATTCGAATTTGCACAATTCAAAGCTCGTGCACGTGGATCCCACTAGCAGATTTGATTGATTTCACTTAGCAAAATTAATCACTGCACTGCAGCTAATGACAATGAGCCTGAGCCTGGCAGCTGTCGGTTGGATTCATTTGGTTATGTCTTACCGCCTAGTGGCGCAGTGTGGACGAAGAGACAAGGTAACAAATTTGTTTTCGCACGCATGCGGCTCTTTTCATCATCAGGCGTTGATGGACAAGCGGATCCGGCCGTGGATCAACAAGAAAATTATCGAGTACATCGGCGAGGAGGAGCCCACACTGGTGGACTTCATCTGCTCGAAAGTGCTGGCTGGCAGTGCAGCGCAGAGCATACTCAACGACGTATCCATGGTGAGTCGTTTGTTGAAGATGCACTTGTAGTCTGTTTAGCCCTCCATATGAGGTTGCCGTTTCACCTCTCTCTGCTGTGGTCGAGTGGCAGCAGACCCATAGGTCGCGGGATGAAATCCCGGCTGCAGCAGCCGTATTTTGATGGATGCAAAGGCTAGAGGTCCATATTAAATATCGTAGTAGAGGGCTGCAGGTATTTCGACGGGAGGTCGAAATTGCCGCAGCCCTCTATTACGGTACCCTTATAACTATATTGCGGTTTTCGGATGTAGAAACTCCTAAGTATTATTATTACCGTATTTACGTGAATGTTCTACAAGATTTTTTTCACGTTATTGCATTCTGAAGTCAACCCTCACGTTGAATACCAAAATTCGGTTTGTCTATGAAGTGCACTAGTTTTGGCCATTTATGTTGGCCACATGTGCCAGCCAAATGCCATTTGGGTATACACTACAAGCTAATAATCATTCTGTGATGGTGCGCATTTCCCATCATGCCGGTCGAGCTTAAATCTCGATAAAGTGTGCACCATGCGATACCTGGTACAGATTGATGCTGTTCCCTTCACTTCGAAATGCTGTACAACATATTTTCTCATGCATAACCCACTCCTTCAAGACTTCGCAGACAGCATTCTATAAAAATGGTCCTCGAGTATTGTCGCGCTGCTATAGCTGTGAAGTACTGCCTGTAGAGACTTTTGCAGAGCAGAATTTGCGTTTCTTGCCTTGAACTTAGCTCTAAAATTTGAAAAAATTTTGTGCGGGTTATTTGCGAGGAAATATGATAGTGCCACTCTGGATATATCCCTACGTTTAATTCTCTCTTGTCCATCTTTTTTCTTAGGTGCTGGACGAAGAAGCGGAGGTGTTTGTCGTCAAAATGTGGCGGCTTCTCATCTACGAAATCGAAGCCAAGAAAGTAGGATTGGTGAAGTGATCAGACCCTGTACATTACTACTCCTTTCAAAAAAACTCTTTAGGGACCTTTTTTTTTTCTCTTTATACATATATATACATATAGGTATACGCAAGTGGCTGTTTCGTGGACATTCTTTTGTGACAATCTTCTTCATAGGTTTGTTACAAAAAGAAAAAGACTACCAACCACTACAACTGCCACGTCTAAGGGCTGTAAATATCATCGATTCTTCCACTTCTTCGACCTCATCTCTTCATCGTACGATGCATCGGCGCTGTTTTGAGCTCAGCAGACGAGAAGACTGTTGGAGGGAAAATGTGGAAAAGAGCTTGCGGAGAAAAACCTTCAACGGAGGGACGCACATATTTTCTCCTTTCGAAGCTCTACCATTGTACCTATGCTATTTCTATTGTAGATGGCCTGCATTCTTATATTATTAGTGCCACCTCCTGTTGTCTCTTTTTTTTTTGTCCCTTGTTCTATTTAAAAAGTGGAATGCTCTTCTTTTCTTCTTTTACTTGTCTATACTGTTTCTGTTTAAAGTGAGCAGGCTAAGTCATTGTTGATTGTACAAGTGTCATTTGAAAAAATGTGAATGCAGTTGCCGTTATCCGTTACCTCACATTGTTATGACACGCCTCTTCGCCTGTGCAGTTTATCTATTTCATTTGACGAGGAAATATGGGCTGGTTAGTTCATTTCCGAATGGCCAAGGGTGTGTGACGTAAACCTCTTTTTTTTTGTTGCACAGTAAAATGCATGCTGTATATACCGCCTGTTGTATTGTACACCTGAGAGGCGGCAGGATACATTGAAAACATTATTTTGCGTGGCGATTAACATCCGTAACTTCACAAGAGCCTTTCTAAATTTTGTGGGGCTGTTGTAGTCGCCCTGAATACAATCCTCAAAACTTGTTCTGAACTTGTCTGTAGCCTAGGTCCTCCGCATTGCAGAAGATGGTACTTTGCTGCAACTGCTTCGCAAATGATTCTGAAGGATTTACTCAGACTTAACATAGCAAAAAAATTAAAAAACCTAAACAAAAAAATATTGTTTGAATGACGAACTCACCTGGCTTTCAGAACATTTTTGCTTTGCGAAGTGCAAACCAGAGCCTTAACTAAAGGCTTTTCTAAAGCAAAGCAGTCTTCATCTTTTAACATCATAGGAAATTCCGGGCACGTCACATTCATCACTTTGGGAGGTTAAACTTACTCTCCTAAAAAAAAAAAAAAAAGATGTGTACGTCTAAGAAAAACTGGAAACACTTGCGAAATTGCACTTTGTGAAGGACCTTGCTTTGAAATGTACTGGTGAAAATAAAGCATTTAGGGCAACTTCCCACAATTCAGTGCACAGGATGTGTGCAGTGGTGTTTTGCTGGTTTTTACTGCATCCGTGATGCAGTACCTATTTAATGTTTCTTGTGGCGTGATCCGATGTATAGGTTATGCATCTTGTATATGTTAATTACACTGTGTCCTGAGGTGCCCCCTTGCCCTATCCCAATCCTTCTTGTCTCTGTGTCGTTGTTTTGTTCTCGCGCTATAACTATCGTCATGCCATACCAACTAGCCCAAGCTGCCACACTTCCAATCCTTGTGTATTGGCATTAACAGGGAGGCAGTTGCTGTGCATTTCCTGCATTGCAAAGCGCAACCTTGGGTTTACGTTTTGGTTTCGGCTAACATTCTCGACGCGCGCCACGTGTGTGCTATGCAAGGAGTTCTTTTGCGAGAGTCATGTACTGTAAGCAAACACACAGCCACAGAATAGATGTTTGTGTTGCAGTTCTTCAAGAAAGCATGGCGAGAAATTTTTTCGTTAATGTTTTAGCCACACAATACTTTATGCTACAAGGAAGCATCTGCACAGAAACTTGTGCATAGACTCGTTTGGCCCAACTATGTTGGGTTGTATGAACATCTCTGTGCTCGAAACGATTATTTTAGCTATGTTGGCAATCTCTTTAGTTATGCTTGAATAAGTGCTTTTGATTGCACAGTATGTAATATAGCTGGCGAACCATAGAGGGAGTTGCAACGCTTATTGCGACACTTGCGATGCAGTCTGTCTCAGAATTACTAAAAAGGACAGTATCTCAAAGGGCAAAGATGCATTGTGTTCTAGTGGCAGTTAGAGGACATGGTCCACACAATGCTGCTCATCGGACAGCCTAAGATGAAAAACTTGTTCCATAATTGTGTATTGCTTTCTGGCATCCGTCACGCACTTGGGTATCTTCCTACATTTTATGCCCGTAAATACTTTTTGGACTTCTGTGTACTGCAAGCCAAACTTCAAGAGCGAAGGATGCTAATGCCACAGGGGTGGCCTCTAGTTCAGTTGGAGGGGACATTGTATTAGAAGGTTATGCCTCTTGATATGCAAATGGGGAGTCATTTTGGTGGCCTGAAGACTTGCAGCGCAGTGAATGATCCCCCTCTCCATCTCCCCTTTTTTTGTGTGAGCTTTGTGTCCCCCCTGCAGATCCAGTGGAGTTGTCAGTGTTTGTGCGGAGGAAGCAAGGTTGTGTACAGACACCTCTAATAAAAGCGGAAAAAGCCACATTTTTCTGATCATTGTACATTACTTTCTCATTTTCCGCAACTGCTTCACCTCAATTGCATATAGTTCTCATTTGAAATGCGTAAACTTGAGGCTAGTGCTCACACTTTTATATCCAGTATCTGCAGTTTGTGTCAAACCTTGAACAGAAATCTCTCATATGGAATTGCTACTCAAGCGGGACAACCGACTCGGTTGCGACTGGTTTTGCACTTGGATTCCGCACTTCTGTTCAACTCTCGGTAAACAGAACACGACTTCCTAGTCCCTTTAGATTTCATTTAACGAGAGTTTACTGCTGACTCTTCACACTTACACAATAGGGAACATTAGCTTTAGCAGCCACATTTACAGCACCATACTGCAATTATTGCAATTGCTCATAGCAGTCATTGTACTAAAGATTGCAATCTGCAAGTGCTGTACATTCACTGCAATAAAAAGGAACACTGTCACACTGGTAGCTCAGCACGCTGAAGTGCAGCGCTGCTCAAGCCCACACGGACTTGTAATAAATCGAGAAAGATGTCATTTTAATTCTACTATTATCCTGGCAGTCGAGTTAGGTTCCATACTTGACTCTCCTGTCTCTCAATTCTTGGATGAACTCTTCCAACTTCTGTTGCGGTGTCAATGGAGGGTCGTAGTAATGCTCCGGCGGTGGCCCTTCAACGAGTCGAACGAAATAGTGACAGTACCTGCAAGGACGTCGCTGCACTTAGAAAAAAAGCATAAAATTCAGACTGGAATGGTGAATAAAAAATACCACATGTAATGCAGTCCAGCAATGACCTGCTGAAATTGCACGTATCCATACACATGACGGCAGAAAAAGAACCCGAGGAGGTGGCCTTTGAAGTTTCCAGTTCATGTAGTAATTGCAAAAAAACTAAGGAAGGCAACGAGACAACTTGTTGCCAGAGGGAGTCAAACTCGACACTTGTGCTTTGCACATGCAGTGCAGTTGTAGTTCACTGTGTCCTGTTCACTTTTCATTCCCATAATTCTAATGACTACAATTCAACTACCAGCAACATATAATGTCCTATACATTTTTGTTAACATCATCTGTTGCCCTTTTAACTGTGTCTAAAAAAATAGCCCCCTCAATCAATTTGCTATTGGCTTGACTTGCAGCATCTAATATGGTGGTTTTGGGACGTTAAACCCCACATATCATTCCCGTGCTTCACTATTGCACAAAGTGTGGTGCCACCAGCCCGCGAAAGGAGGCTTGACTGAGTCGCATGAAATCTAACTAGGCTACCTCAATTGACTGTGCAACTGCTGAATGCTTAGCAGTTTTAACTTGATTCTAATGCATGCCGTTTCATTTCATGCAGTTAAAAACTGCTGTCTGGCACACCATATTAGATGGCCATAAAGTACAGACTATCGCCTCCTTTATTAAAATGCCTCAGGAATGGCTCATGCTCCCAGCAAAGTATGCCTACCTTCAGTTTTGAACAAGCGCTGCGCGGTGGCGCTGGCAATCGACACTATCATCACTGTGTGTTTTACTTGTGGCCCATAGGGGCGCTTCAGTCTGGAGTTATTAGAGATCTGCAACTATACACGACCATTTCAGAGGCTGTGCAAAATGTCAAGTTGCTGCACCGTTCGCCACAGATGGCGCTAGTGACTGACACTAATAAAAAAAGAGGGAAAGAGTGTGGTAGCTGTTTTTTTTTTTTTTTTTCTCATGCGACTGGCATCTAGTCTGGGAGGCATTATACAGACATGACTGGTCTGATTGCCAGACCAATGGCGAACAAAATCAAGACAGTGGTACATGCTGCAATGAGATACCACAGGCATTTACGAAGTGTTGGGAATTGCCATAAACAGGAATGACTGGGTCAAAATATTCAATGCTGGTTTTCATGAACAGCTACACTACTCGGCTAAGTACCTTGTGCGGCGAGAAAAAAAGTACATTGACAAACACTACAGCTCGTAGTTTTCAGCAAATAATAATTCACCGCAAAACAGACAGAGTGCAATGAACTTGCCCAAGAGAAATTTCAATCCAATTCATTCTGAAATGTCAACACCTTAATAGCTGTGTGTGCATGTCGCTGGTCACAAGTGCTGCATACAGTTGACTGTTGAAGAACTGAGTGCTGCAAGCTGAAGTGGTCAGCATTGCAACAGCTGTAAAAAAAATCACGAAAATACTTTCTGTAGAATTGCATTTTAAGAAGGTGTGGGATGAAGTACAGTTGAACCTGGATACATTGTATTTGAAAGAAACCTATGAACAAGTACAAGCTCTGCCCTCAAACTGCAGCATGCCTGCCATTCAATAGTGAAAGAGATGTGCTTTGCAGTTTCCATCCTAACCATAAGTACTTGTTCTCTGTTAACGTTACTACTACACATATCGGCAATTAAAACTATGCTGTCCGTGCTTACCGTACGGACAGTATATCAGTACTCACCGTACGGAAAGTAAACTATCCATTAGGCTGAGCAGTGATGTTGAAATCTTTGCTTAAATTTCACTGAAAATTCCAGTTTTCAACCAAAAACCAGCAACATAATCTTGGCTGAAATTTCCCATTAAGTTTTAGACCGAAAACCAGCAACATCATGTCTGTAAGGGGACAGCACCTACCTCATTTACGTAATAGGTGCTTGCCGTCACATGAATGAGCACGTGCTATTGGATGCAGCATCTAAGCGAATTCCCGGTTAGTGGAAGTGTGACAGTTGTGGGCGAAGCTTACATTTATTCTTGAGTTGCAACTGATTAGAGGTTATTCGATACGCATGCAAGGTGACTTCACAACTGTTCACTATGCACAATAATTCGTTATATCCGGGTTCAACTGCATCACAAATGAAAACCGGGTCAGAGAGGCATTAAGAAAGCAAGAAGCTCGAACCTATAATGAATGATGCCCAGCTTTCCTCGCGCGTGCCTCCGAATGCCCTTGATGGTGACCGCCTTGCCGCAGAAGGACTCGCCGACCCAGAGGTTGGACTTGAACTCGACGTTGTGGTCCCGGACGGCCATCTCCTGCGCCTCCTTGAGAACCTCGATGACGATCTTGGCTCCCTTCCTGTGAACGAAGGTGAGCTGCTTGATCGCCTCGTCCACGCTCATGCCGCGTATCATCTGCGCGATGGGCAGCATCTTCTTGGGCGAGTAGCGGATCTGGTTTCGGTAGTGGACCACCCAGGCCTGGTTGCGCGGCTGGCCGGGCTCCTGAGGAGGCTCGATCTCGTCGTTCTTCTTGGGCCACCTTTCGGGTGCCGGCATGAACCAGTCTTCCTGGAGCTTGTGCAAGGTCGCCGCCACGCTGAAGTTGTTGGCGAGAAGCGTCGGTGCCAAAGTGGGAGAGACGAGCGCTCTGCGCAGCGCCTGTCGGCACAGCGCGAACATGGTCGCCTTCGGGACGCGGGGGTGTCAGGCCTCAGACGAAACCTGCGGTGAAACGTCGACGTCAGACGGCCACTAATAACATGAAACAAAAATTTTACGCAGCATTGATTCGTAATTGCCTAGGTTAACATAACCGAAATATGAATGATGTAAACTCATAAGCTCAGTTTAAACCACAATTCAGAGTAATGATGCATCCATCCATCACAAAAAAATCACGGCAAGGTAAGAAAAGCTGTGCTCTAACCGTGGCTCTAACCTAACCTGCAATAATCGACTCGTGTCAAACGAAATTGATACACGTGCCACTTATATGACTGTCAGTGCCCCGCCACGGTGGTCTAGTGGCTAAGGTACTCGGCTGCTGACCCGCAGGTCGCGGGTTCAAATCCCGGCTGTGGCGGCTGCATTTCCGATGGATGCGGAAATGTTGTAGGCCCGTGTACTCAGATTTGGGTGCACGTTAAAGAACCCCAGGTGGTCAAAATTTCCGGAGCCCTCCACTACGGCGTCTCTCATAATCAAAATGGTGGTTTTGGGACGTTAAACCCCACATATCAATATATGACTGTCAGTTCGCTACGTAGCACACACTTTTGGTTCCATTACAACATCGTGGCAATACGAAGTTGAGCTGTTTTAGCAAGCTACACCTTCCGCTATGGCAAGAGAACCGCTGATACTGCAGATGCAAGCATATAAATTCTGCGACCGAACGGTACACGCTCCGAGGCGCGTGAACCGAGACGATGTAGAGCTAACCGTTTCACGCACGTCCAAGTCACACATGCCGCTGAGAATGCACACCGTTGCCGGAGCGTAACAGCCGTTCATTGAGCGCTTAGACGAGACAGATCACGAAACCGGGCTCCTTCGGTCGTCAATGTGACCGACCACAACCGCCCGTGTTGTTCAACTGCGCGATTGCTCCCGTCCTACTTAAAGCGAAATGCGTAGTTTACACACTTCTCACGTCTTCCCCTCCGCACTCACTTTTTTAAATGCGTGAAAGGCTACAGCACGAAGAACTGAAGCGCTCACGATCTTCTCATGATCACGCTCATGAGATTTTTTCGCTGTGGGCCACCATGTTTGTTTGATATGGTTTAGCTACAGTGTACTAGAACAGAGGCAGTGTGCTCACTGCCCTATCCTTGCGGCGCTCCGCCGTAGCGCACTCTGTGTCGACTTCCACGATGCCCACTAGGGGCGCTGACGCTTGACGCACCTGAAAAACTTCTCTTGGTTCGTGTTGGCGGACGGGGCTGGTTCGCTCAGTTCAGTTTGATTGGATCAACGTGGGTACCCCGTGTGCGTGTTCTGTGCTTTATGCTTGGATCATTGTGTAGTATGTGTTCGTGAAGATGCCTAACCGCCGTCGAAATTACTGTTTTGCGCCCGGTTGTCGAACCGGGTACAGTCATGTGCAGGATGCAACACAGGCGTCTTTGTTCAGCGTCCCGCGTGATGAAGAACGGCGGAAGGAGTGGGAAAGAAATCTCCACCGTGCAGATAAGAAACTGGATGAGTTTTCTGCGGTCTGCGAACTGCATTTCTAACCGAGGTTCGTTATCGAGGAGTTCGTGCACCATATAGATGGCAAAGAGGTACGCATTCCTCGTGATAAACCGATGCTGTCGGAAAACTCCGTCCCCACGATTCTTCCAAATTTGGCGCAGTACCTCACGAAGAAGATGCCAAAACTGAGAGCCAAAAGGAAGATGTGCGAAAATAACCATGCAGCCGCAAAGAAAAAGAGCCGAAGTGCTCTCGAGACTGACTGTACTGAATTTCCACGGGCTGCTATTGGTGATTCAGGGGAGGACTGCGACTTCACACAGGATGACGTTCCAGCGGAGCCCGAGCATTGCTTGTCGTTTTGTTATTGTTTAAAGACTCCTTCCAAGTAATGGTGCATATCAATGTGTAAATGTCTCAATTTGCCATTATTCAGCCTTTTTTTTACCCTAATATTTCTTGTGCAAATTCTTTCATCACTTATTTGTAAATAAACATTATTTCATCAATTTACATGGATTTTTATCATTTCTTTTTAATTTGCTACGTCATTAACTTGATGGATACACGAAATATAAAAATTCAGAGGCAATGAATGGAATGGACTCTGACAGTGAAGGACAGGAGCGGGTGTAAATCAATGAAAGAGGTCTCCGTCCTGCAGGACCTAACAGGCTGTTGATAATAATGATGCTACGTCTTGTTTACAGCAAGAATCACGCCACACACCAATCATCACCTAAAGTCTCGAAGCAGCGATGCTAGAATGTTAAACGTCGTGCGTGGTTGTCATGGTGGTTAAAGTTTGGGTTTAGGGCGCGCATTCCTGCAGCAGGCACGTAATCAAGAAAAACCCGGCGTGGAGGCTGTCTAAGGCGTTGTACTGTTCAACCCAAGGACGTGTGTTCGATCCTAGCTGCGGTGGCTGTTCTCCTGACGGAGGAGAAAAACGAAACAATCCGTGTGTCGGCATTTCGGCTGACGTTAAAAATTCTAAAGGGATCTAAATTAACCTGCAGCCCTCCGCTATGGCGCACCTCATAGCGAAAGTGTGGCTTCGGCCCGTTAAACTCCAAAATTTTAATTCTGACATTGCGAGAAAAAAAGTGCGTAGTGTTTTTCGCACCTCGGAACCGCAGTCGACATGACCGCTGCATTAGCGAAACCACTTTGAACATTTAAACGGCCGGAAAATAATACAATGTCAGTTGCTTCACGCCCTGCACACTGATAAGATGCCCCAAAAGAAGTGTCGTGCATTGCATGTCGCGAACGTTGCATAATTTCTGGCATTTCAACAATTGCGCTGTGGCTCTCTACTTCGGCGCGCAAAGGAGTTTCAGGTGACACTGCGAACCGCGCCGCCTCTTGGCGTCGACACGAAGTGGGTCACCCACCGCCGCCTGTGAGCACACTGCCTCTATTCTAGTACACTGTAGGTTTAGCGCAACGTTACGTTGGGTTTAGCGCTGCTTTCTTACTCGCCGCAACTCCGTAGCAATAAAACTACTTTTAAAACTACTTTCACTACTTTCAACTACTTTCAATATTACAGCTTTAAATTGTATCTTTATTTTTGTCAATAATATTTTAAATTTGTTGAATTGTTTTTGAAAAACCTAATACTTATGCTTTAAACACTTTTTTTCATCGCTTACGACTTGAGCGCTCTAAACGGAAAAGCAGGCGTTACTTTTCTTTTTCTAGTCAATCTACTTCCGCTTGTTCGTCGTTTATTTCAGCGTCTCCGGCGCGTTGCATTTTGGCGTGCTCGTGTACGCATGTTTTCCTCTTCGTCCTCGTCGCAAAACGTGCGGCGCGCGAACGCCTTTGCCCTCCCGGGTTCGTTCGAGGTCCGCCGGCAAGCAGCAGCAGCTTCGCGAGCTCACCACTACGGGTGTTTCGCTACGAAATCCGCGTTAGCCCCGGCTTTCGCGTCGGTGGCGCAGACGGCGTTCGAAGGCCGTTGACGGCGTTCTGTTGGTGTTTGTGTTTGTTCGAGGCCCCGAGCTCGAAGATGCCGAGCGTCAAGGAGTGCAACAATGACAGCGAGGGAGAAGAGATGGACCAGGAGACGCCCGAGAGCGAGAAAACGAGCAACGAGGAGTCCGATTCCTCCTCCGGATCTGAAGATGACAGCTCGGGTGAGTTGGGGGGGTTCCCGCGCGACTTGAAAAACTCCCGGTCAGCTGGTGGCTTTGAAAAGGGCGGCAGCGTTCTTGGGAAATGTGGAAAACCGAACGCCTCTTAGGGAGACCGTGCGTACTGTCGCCGTCGTCAAATGATCTTCATTTGTCACAACTCGTGAACGTAGCGCCGATGCCCGACCCTTCAACACAGGGACGGGTTTGTCAGTCGCCGTTCGATTGCCTTCGAAAATTGACCTAGTCGAAAAGCTTTAACGATTCACTATTCGATGCAGAAAAATTCCTTAACTTACCTGATGTCCTAGGTGTAAACATTTGTGTCCGGTTCAGTTGCATATTTCGTGTTTGTTTATATTCTCGTAACTAATATTTAATGTGAAAACTATTGACGCGACTGTGTCAGCAAAGTCGCGTTAGCACAACCAGGCGCACCTTACCGTAACATAGGCATTCTTTGTAATGTGTCGAATCCCCGCTATCGAATAAGGTTATTAACCGACTAGGCAAGCAACAAACTTTGTTGATCTAGCAGTCAGTAAAGAGCAGATTTATGCCTCGCAATCTCGGACTTGATGACAGAAAAAACGAGCGGAGGCGTTATTCACTTCCTAGTTTACCAGCGTTGCTGTCGCGCGGTTCGTGTCAAACCGCGATTTGTAATCCCTCGATCGCGATTGGTTTAAGTTACCATGGACTGAGGAAAGAAGCCAGTCGGAAACTTTTTATTGAAAAGCAGAGAATTCAGCCGGTATATGCAAATTGCTGACTTGTTACTGTGCGTGGGGAAGAGGATTGGGGAAAAAGTAGGGACAGCGAGAGAGAGAAGGAAATGACAAGATGTGAAGATGAAATAAAAAATAAGAAAAAAATAGGCCTAGTCGTTTGTCTATTGGGTAGGGACATACGTTAGTCTCTCATTCCATGGTTTTAAAGTAGAGCCAATTGGAGTGGACATTTTCAAACGCGTTCGGTTGGGATCCAATTTAGCAGTCTTAAATGGCCCCGTTACTGTGCAACAGATCCCCTCAGCCAATAACAACAGACATTTTCAATGTCAGCGGAAATAGATAAAAATCCTGGGCAGTGATTGGCTTCCTTACTCAGCATAAACGAAGTGGACAAGTCGGGATCGAGAAAGTCAGCCCGGAGTAAAGCGATTGCAATAGAAGGTTACAGTGGCTCAATAAAGAGAAGTCCTCAATGAAGCAGAAGGAAAGATAAGGGAATCTTTTTGAAATGGCTCTGTTTGTTTGACACAGTCAACTTAATCAATTGTTCTATTTCACTGTAGTGTTGTGATAATGACATAAATTTAATTAACCTGGACAATAAAAAATACCCTCTCAGTCAATCAAATCTGAACCCACAACCTTCAAATTACATGTCTGATCCTCTACAAATCTAGCTATGAAGAGAGGTACTTTATCGATCACTTTGCTGCGTATTTCTGTGTGTGTAATCACAGAAAATGTTGGCCAGCGCCACTCATAGCCAGGAGGTGGCATTTACTAAACCCCGAGTTTTGGGGTAAAACATTGCTCTTTCCTGGAGAGTTAAACAACTGATGCACCATCACTTGTTTAACTCGCCAGGAAATAGTGATGCTTCTGGTCCACATTGACCCAAGAGCTGGTGTGCCCAGTTTCAAGCCTGGCAAATACATTGCAGATCGCAGGAATATCAACACAGTTGCCCAACAGTCGGTACATTGCACATCGTGACTGCTTAGTCACGTTGTCGGACATAGCAGTACGAGTTTATAAGAAAGCAAAACGCGTGATGATTCGATTTGACCAGCACTTAGCGCATATGGCTTTCTTTTGAACATTATGGTTATAGGGATTAGGGTGAAACACCGTTGCATAGTCATGTAGAAGACAACAAAGCTACTGAGAGTAAGTGCTTGCTCGTTTAAGTAAAAGCTGATGTCTATGTTTAGCACAAAACCAACTCGGGAAAGAATTCGGGGCAGCATGCACACAAGTCTTATTCAAATGTCGTTCGGGCATTACTCAGTACAGAATAGTATGTTTACCAGAACTTGGTACAGCTTTTGTCTAACCCTGACTTGGACCTTATCTGTGAAGCTCATACCACAACGCTGACAAACTGATGTGCAAGATGGTGAGATGTACACTACGGAAGTGGTATTGGAATAATATTAACTATTTTTATGTCCTCGTTGAAGCGCAGATTATTGTTTCAGGTACATATTATTCACTCATGAAAGAGTTCATGTAACCAATTGTAACCAATTAGCAGAATGTTATATGGGCTATTTTTGTATAAATTGGAAGAGATAAGAGTGATTTTATGTAACCTTGTGGTGCTTTTTCTGAGAAATGTTCTGAATCGTAGCAACACAATCCCTGATTGATAAAAGGGCCTAAGTTAAGCTGGCAGATTGTAAACTTTTAGCCCATGCAGCACTTTTGAAGATGCATTGCAGTGACTTCGGTTTTCTAGTGCAGTGTCTATCTTTTTGTTATCCGTGCATCTTGCTTTATAGCATTCTGCTGCAAGTGTTCAGATCCTTACTTGATTAGAAGAGTTTGCGTAAGGGCTAGTTCAAACGTAATGGTAGAAAAAAAGTCAGTGCTGCAAAGCTCACAGACGTTTTATTGAATCAGTTGTTCGGTGCGCTTCGTGTATAGTGGTTCTTATCTGCCATGTTTACAGGTTTCAAGCGGGTTTTTTAAACCCATGAAAACCATCGAATTCGAAAAGTTTGTTTTCAAGGCCTTGAAAGCGCTGGAATTTTTGAAACGTCCTTGAAAATCCTTGAATTTTCGTTTTTTCAATAACATTGTACGCACATTTCACAGTCCATTATTTGCGATGCCGTAAATGTAGTAGGTGGCATAAGTCATGTGCTCATCACAATAGAATTGGGAAGATCAATAGCTCCTGTGACATACGGACACCATGCATTTTAATTGTAATGATGTTTGCAATTTTACGTCCCAAAAGCAAGAGATGATTTGAGAGACATACACTGGAAGGCTTCGGAAACTTCGACCATGTGGATGTTACCCCAGTGCGGCGGACAACACTGTGCATATTTGGAAACTGTCAAAAAGCAGGAGCAAACTGAGGGAAAAAAATGTTGCTTTGAGGAGGAGGTCAAAACTTGTACAAAAAAGAAAATGAACAAGAAATAACTGTTAACGAATTAACAGCTACATCAGGCTCATATGCACGAGAGGCAGAGTCAACTATAGTGACCTGACATGCAACATCAAGTAAAACAGCCTCATGAACACTGCCAACACTAAGCAGCAAAAGATAGTAGACATTGATATGAAAATTCAGGAAAAGCAGCAAGGAGTGGCATATTAAACAGTTTCTTAGTTTTGCCTACCTTGTGTTTGCATCATTGCATACCGAAAAAAGTAGTTTGGATGTTGTGTCTTAAAGCAAATATCCACGTAACTCGAAGAAACTATAATTGAAAGTTGTCTAGAAAGAAGACGTTATCGGAGCCATGTTTCCGATGTTTTCTCTAACGTTGTCACCCTTTTTTGGTGAATTCTAGTGATTTCAAGCCTCCATATTCCCCTGAAGGTGTGTCAATTTGGTTTGTAACAGACAATGCGGTCCTTGAAAATTCACACACATAGCCTTGAAAGTCTTTGGAAACCCTTGAAATTTTGTCATGTAAACGAGCATGAACCTTTTGTTTGCAAACCTTGCAGCGCTGCCTTTTTAGTGCATTACTTCATTACTTGGGCAGTGTTTTCGTGCTGTTTTGGTACAGTTGTTCATTTAAAATGAATTCCTGCAGAGATGGACGAGGAAGATTGCGAGAGGAGGCGAACGGAGTGCATTGACGACATGGCTGACCTCGAGCGACAGTTCATGCACCTCAAGGAACAGTAAGTGTACCTAAAGTGTTCTCACTTCATTTCAAGGTCTTTTTTCCCCGGAACAAAGCTAGTCAACGAAGGACCCCAACCGCACCTACAAGATCTCTGGTGGTGTGAAACTTATTGTCGGACACTCATCAGTTATAACAAGTGTGAGGGCTCATCCACACTGGACACTGTCGGCATTCATTCGACCATGTTGGTCACAGAAAATAAAACAGTTGCTTTGGTCAAGATGTGTGGCTGGAGTCGCAAAGATAGCGAAACCGATCTGATGCTGGAGAACAAGGTGTCTGCTTGTTTTACGACGTGATGGCGGAGAAGGAGACGTTAGCATCGCAACCACGACCCATCTCGGTGCAGTGAGGGACAGTTCTCGCCAGCCGATGCGAATCAGCAGATGCGATGCGCCAGCCGATGCGAATCATCGCATCGGTCCCGCCAGCCGATGCGATGCCCTGAGTCAATTCGTGATTGCCCATTTCAAATGCTCGTGCGACACCTCCAAGTGGCCAGTGAAAAATGAGTGCCAAGACACCCCACTTCAGCCTCTCTAAGAGTTTGAGGGACTCGACTTCACATCACTCCGTCACAAAGAAATTCCGATATCGAAGATTCTGCTAGCCCCTGACACAAGCGCAAGTGCCCTGTAAATGCACTTTAGGGTGTCGACGACACCACCCAGTTGACACCATGCCAGATAGACATCCCTTTATGTGTATGGGGGGGCCGTACCCTGCCCCTAGTGAAAGTACGTAGTCACTTGGGATAGCACCCACCTTGCGGGAAAAGGCAGCATGGGACCCCCATAACGAAACATAAGGTCATCATCTTTGTATTTTATCAGTCCTAAAACGTTCCCTGATCCAGTGGCGTAGGAACTACATGATTTATTGGAAGTGTATTCAGCCCCAACAGACTCTACCAGACTCTTACTGCTGACGGGTATCCTGTAAGGGTAGTTAACATCTGCATCTTGTCGAGTACATAGTTGTCTAAGTTATTGCCTGCATTAACCTTGGTCGAAGAAGGGGTGTTTAAGGCTTGAGTTTGGGCAGTGTCTAAATGTTTTCTTGATTAGAGAAGTGGAAAGCATGTGCTATTAAAGTAGAGTTACTTAGACAAGATTAAAGAACGGCTAAACTACACATTCGCCATCTTTTTTTTTTTTTAGCCGATGATGTGCAGGGAAGTCCTCGGTGCTTGCCTGTAATGCCAGTTCTAGGAATGGGCAATTAGTAAGTGTCCGGCTCAAAGCGAAGAATGAATTCTTCGAATAATATTGAATCAAACAGTTTAAATAGTACATGTCACATATAAAAAAAAAACTAGCATTTTTATCCCAACTCCTGGCCCAAATAACTTGCACAGTACATTTAAGAATCGAAACTAGCCATGTGTGAATGTCACTTTTTTAGTTTGAACGGATGTTGAAGCAACTTTGAATACTGGAAAGATTTGTATAGCCCGTAAAGTGGTAGTTATACTGGTAAAATATGTTACATTCTAAAAATTACTATACTTAATGCATGTAAGCCTTTGGAACACACTTTTAAACCTAATTGTAATTGAAGTGACCATAATATGTGCATTTAACCTTGAATTCTGGCAATGGGGACTTTTCTTGAATATGTGGCTTTGCGGCCTAGCATGACTGCGCTGTTGGGAAACCACCTTTACTAGGGGGATCGTATGCACTTAAATATGCGCTTCTTTGTTTGGAACAATCTAAATTTGTGTCAAATTGAATTTAAATATTGTAATATTTGTTCAAATATTCGAAGTACTCGAATATTCACCCATCCCTCCCTTGTGAGTTCTCGCCACCAATTCTCCTTTGATACTCTGTACAGTGAGATGTCTAATTCTGAGACGGGTCAAAACACTCTAATGCATCGGTTATTGTACCATTCATGCATGAACGTTCTGTGATACGTCTGTGGGGATTCAGTGGAATTATAGGGAATCCTCATATACTCCGTTAAATTATACATAAATCATATGAACTTACACATCGATATGGAACGTTTCGATGGGGATATGTGTGGTTCTGGGTTGAAAGCCACAAGCTAGCAACTGCCAACACTGGTTTTGGGGCGGCCTGCATCTTGCTTGCATTCACACGTGAGTGCGCACTGATTTCTTTCTGTGCAGGCTCTACCTCGAGCGAGCAAACCAAGTCGAAGCGAAACTTGAAGAGGTAAAACTGGGCCGCGCACCTGAATACCTGCAGCCGCTTGAAGACCTCCAGGACAACATGAGGATACGGATAGAGGTCGCAGGTGCATATCCCTCCATGCATTTTGCCGCATATCTTGCAATTGTACTTGCTTTGCTGTGCGCACTACCACTACTGTGCATGGGGTTGGGCTGGTCGGCAAAGATTCATTGTAAAAAATGGTGAGTCGTGTGAACACGGATGCAACAGAATACAACCGGACAATACAAGACACGGATATTTGGATCGTCCACTTCTCTAGTGTCCGTGTTTACGTGCCTCTCACGGTCAATCTGAGACACCATAAGCAAGCTTCGATCCTGCATACGATGAGTCTGTGACGGCATTGCATTTAAAGAAAGGCCACATTTGGCATACAGCACGGGCATAGGACTACTTGTGCGCACCACGCTGTTAAGCAACACTGTTAAGGACGCATGATACACAGCATGGGAGGACTTGAAAGTGAAAGGCATGGTCATCATCACCAAAGATGATCATATTGATCATAATGATGGTCACCTTTGTATTTATGAAAGGACGAGGCTGATGACGGCACCAGATAGCTTGTCTTCCAGTGGTCTTAGGCAAATGCATGAAAGATACTGCGTGTCTTCTTTTTTAGATGTTGTTCAAAGTTAGACAAAGTAGCCTGTAATAATGCAGCTACTTGTAAAGCTACTTGTATTGTCTCTTGCATTCGGCAAAGTTGAGCTATTGAATATTTTGTTTCCGCAGGTATTCTGAAGGAAATGAAGTTGAGAAACATCAAGCGAAAGTATGAAGCTGAAGAAATCGCGGCATTTCAAAATTTTGAGGTGAGACTTCATTTCCTAACAGACCCCTTATAAAACCATCACGGTGGTCAAGTGGCTAAGGCACTCAGCTGCTTACCTGCAGGTCACGGGATTAAATCCTGGCCACGGTGGCCACATTTTTTGTGAAGGTGAAAATGCTTGAGGCTTGTGTACCGTAATTACCGTAATTATTCCGTAATTATTCCGTAAGATTACCGTAATTATTCGAATCTAACGTGCACCTTTTTTCCGGTTAAGCGAGTTCATAAATCGCATGCGCGTTAGAATCAAGTACGAACAAAAAAATTACGGTCAATCTATTGCCATCGGCAAATCCAAAATGGCCGCCCCCTACGTGCGTCGGCATGGCGCGTCGGCCATTTCTGCTTATGTGTTTCCCATGTGCGGTACTTCGTACGTGTGCTGAGGAGTTCGTCATCTAGTAGTGCATTAGCATCGTCGGCGTGGAAGGGCCGACTCCAAAAACTCGAGTGCATCTTGATGCCGCTTTTAAAAGAAAAGTCATCGCGTGTGCAGAAACGGACAAAAATCGGGCCGCATCGGTCGTTCGGAGTTCCCGAAACGTGCGTGCGGGACCAGCGGAAACAAAAGCAGAAGATTGTCGACAGCAAAGCTTCACGCAAAGGCTTCAGTGGACCACAGCAGGGTCGGTTTCCGCAAATTAAAGAGCTGCTCGGCGAGTATGTGCTTGAGCAGCGAGCGGCACAGCGGCCCGTGACGACAGAACTGCTCCAAGTGCGGGCTAATGCGGAGCCAGTTTAAAGCGAGCAGGTGCTGGCTAACTAACTTTATGAAGAGGAAAGGCTTTTCCCTCCGAAGGGGAACATGCATACGCGAAAAGTTTTGCGGAAGAGTACGATGAAAAGCTTCACAGTTTTCAGAGGTTCGTCCTAAACTTGCGGCACAACAACGGCTACCTGCTTGGGCAAATCGGAAATGCCGATCAGACGCCTCCTTACTTCGACATGCTTGGCACCACAACCGTCGAGAAGAAGGGGGCGAAGCAAGTTCGCGTGCTGACATCGGTCCACGGTAAAACTACAGTGACGGCAACGCTCTGTTACACGTCAGATGGGCTCAAGCTTCGCCCGTACCTCATATTTAAATGGAAGACGCTCCTGAAAGGAGTCGTTTTTTCGAGTGATGTGATCGTGTGGGCCAGCGAGAAAAATGGGTGCGCGTTGCAATCGATGTCTTACATTTGTTTTCTTTTTCCGCGGTGGAAATCGGGTGCGCGTTACAATCGAGGGCGCAGTAGAATCGAGTAAATACGGTAGGTGCACGTTAAAGAAACCCGTGGCTGATATTTTAGGAGCCTTTCACTACGGCGTCCCTCATAATTTATTTATCTTGAATGCCTTTTTTATTTATTTTATTTATTTATTTTGAATTACGGTATTGCTACGTTGAACCCAGGTTATTATATTACCTAATTGGCAGTGAGTTTGCCGTTTGTGAAGCCTAACTTTAGAAATTGAATGTTTCAGAGCGAACGAGCTTTGTTGCAAGACTCCATCCGGTGCGAGCTCGAGGAGAAAATCAGGCGGCTTGAGGAAGACCGCAACAGCATTGACATCACTTCAGGTAAGCGCTCATCGTCATCATGAGCCTGAATATCCTCATTGTAGGAAAAGCCTTGCTAATGCTTTCTTTATGGTAGGTGTTTTTTTTTTTCTTTTTTACGTTCAGTTGTTATTTTTCACTCCAGCATCCGACTGTCGCATGTGTTCAGCATGTATTTATTAATAACTTCTTTTTCCTTTTTAATACCATATTCACCCCTGAATGTATGGAAATTTTTAATGAAGTCATTGAACAAATGCATTCTAAAAAATTGGGAGATCGGCCATAGTTTGTGGCACGTTGAGTGTAATCAATGGAAGGTCTCATTTGATCTATATCTTGAGTACGATGGTGCAAGGTTGAAAATTGACAAGTGCTTCTAATCTTGCAGATTTGTGGAGCGAGCAGGTCACCCACAAGAAGAGCCGGCGCAAGACTGATTCGATGACGACCGACCGGCGGAAGAAGCCCGTCACCGTCTCTGATATCCTTTGCGCTTTTAAACATTTTTGTGGATTTCAATGATGCGCTTTGAAACTCCACGTGTAATTTAGTTGTAGAATGAAACAGTTACGTAACCTGTGTGCTTGTGACTGCTGGGATGCAAGGCTCTAATGCCCATGCCAGATTTGTGAGATTAGTGTCATTGAATGTGCTACGTGTGCAACGAAAGCAGCTGCAGCGAACGTTGGAACCTTGTTTTATCATCTTAAAGGGGCCTTGCAACACTTTTTGACCACGGTCGCAAAATGCTGCCAATAGATAGCCAAAGGCGAGGCTCCCGAGAACACACAAGCCAAACATAACAGCGCAGTGCACAACATAGAATTTATAATTAATTCTCGAAGCCAGCTAAAAATCTCTCTCTCTTTTTTCTACAAATGCTGACCGAACTTCCTAAATTTCTGCAACGTATAACCACGTCCGTGAGATGCCTCCGCATGCCCACATTCACACTCACTCGCGATCACACCGAGAGTAAGCCGCTCATTTGAATAAAAAAGAAAGGAAAGTTTCGAGGTAATAACACATGCTGACACAGGAACGTGTCTTCCTGCAGTCTTGTCAGCGCGCTTAGCGAGAGGAAAGAAGAGAGAAGGCATTTCAATCGTGTGACGGATACTACGTATAACTCCCCTCATACTTGAAGAATTGTAAAAAAAATTTATGCCGGGGTCCACGGGACGTCAGTGACAAATTCCCGTCACGGATATGACTTTGTGAAATTAACACGACCAAATGAAAAAGAAAAAAACATTCAAGAAAAAGTTTTCCCACCAAGGCGTCGAACCTCTGACTTATTGGAATACGTACGAAACGTGCCCGGCGCTCTACTGACTGAGCTATCAAGCCAATCCTTGGTCTTCGTGCGAACGCGCTTCATATCGTTCTCACTCCGTGCTATCTGTTGGCGAAGCGGGGCGGTGTCGCCGTCTGTGAGTGCTTAAGAGAAGTTATGCGGCATGACGCAGTTGAAGCAAGGCATCCGAGATTGCGCGTCGATGCGCAGTCTTGGAGGGCATGGTTAAAACGTCTCAAAAGAAGTGAAAAACCGCGAACGAACTAGCATAGGAGAGTGTTTTTTGCCTGTTACTTCGTGTTAGCGCATGACACCTCATTGTTTAAGTTGTGCAGCTTCTACATGCACCAGCGATGATTCACTGCCGACAACTTCAAGTGGCGGCTTGTTTGATAAAAATGCTGCAGTAAGGATTTTAGTTAGGCAACAATGTCAAGTGATGCCTCGTAGGTGTCTCAAAGCAACACTTCTGTTTTAATCTTCCTTCAATTTTATGTGTGTTACACTTCATTTAAACACTGCACGTAGTGCCCCCTTCGGCTACTTTATCCCTTGGCGTTGTGCAGTTGTACTACAAAGGTTGCGTCTTGCGGTTGCCCACTGCCTTGGTCATAGTGGGCACATGGACATCTATAATATCCCTGTCACACGTGGCAACTCAAGTGCTCTTTGAGTGAGTGTACTTACGCTCGCAAAGTGTCATTTTGGAGGTTCGCTGCTACACGAGAAAGAGAAGTGTGCTTTGGAAACGATGGCAGTGGCTATTGGCAGACTCGTAGCGCAACATATATTTGTTTTTTTTGCGCCTGTGTCTCATCGTCGGACCACGTTGTCTTCATGGAAGTAGCAGCTGTGGCACACACCATCGCAATTGACGAGAACGACTCACCTACACATGTGCAAGTGTGCCTGGAAGTAAAAGCTTGGTGGACCTGGCTGTAAACGGCTCGAAGCAGAGTAGCGAGTTTTTCTTGTTGGTTTATGACTTGTGTTAATACATAGCACTGGTTTAAAAATAGTATGAGCGCCGTTTTAGGCAACAGCATATTTCTGTGCAAGCCACTGGTACTGCGGCTACACACTTCGCCGGCAAGTGTACCTTGCCGCAAGTGACGCTAAACTTGCTCGTGTGACAGCGCACGAATGATACTCTCGGAGAAGTGTACTCCCTCAAAGTGCTCTCAAGTTGGCACGTGTGACGGGGGTAGAATTCGTTCTGCTAGGTCTGTGTGGTAGCGGTGAAGGAGCCATTGTATTGCAGCAGACAAGGCTAGTTAAATCACGGCTTGCAATACATCTATGCTTCCCTGCATTTTCCCTTGACCTTTTCCATCCACGACCCTACATCGTGTACATGCTGCGGGAAAACGAGATTCTCGAAGACTGGACGGCCATAAGGAAAGTCAGTGCACCTCCCATTTAGGCAACAATATTTTAAAGCACTGAATATTCTATCGCAACAAAAGTAGTGGCATATTATGTTGATATATGTGTTTTTGTTGTAATTTAACTCAATTTTAATAAGATGTCTATTTGAAAGTGCTTTGTGTGTTTTTTGGATTGATAGAATAAAACCTGAGGCTAAAGATATGGGTGTTTCATTTTCGGTTACACCCGTACCGAGCTAAAAAAATTTATCCTTTTGATGCGGTTTGCAGAAAGCAGCTAGTTTAATGGCTCATCAGACTTTGGTAGTGCATGCAGGGAAGTGATTATATGCAGTAGTTCATTGCCAATTAAAGATACGTGAAAATACACTTATTAAGCTGAAAGTTGAGTTCATTCAAACCTCATTTTATTTTACTCTCTCTTAGCCACTAAACGCAGCTAGCAAAAAGGAGTTGTGTATGCAAGTTTGTACAACACATTCAAAAGGGTCAGATTGCTTTGTGGTACTCTTTTTTTTATATAGCAGAGCTACTGTGTGAGCTTCAAGCAAATCTCCTACGAAATTCATTCTTGAGTGAAAATTAACTTTTGCATTGAGAGTGCATTTAGTGAATAGACTGTACAAAAAATGTTTTTGCCAACGGCACTATGTATTGGAAACAACTTGAACGTAAAGTTTGTTTTTGATGAAAATAAGCAGAAGAAGTGCCATGAAACATGGTGGCTGCACTAAGAAAGGCAAGGATGTAAAGTGTGGAGGGAAGTAATTTCACTCGTACATTTGTTGATATTAATTTGCTCATTTGTTCATTAATTATTCACTCTCTCCATTTTGTAGGCATTGAAGACGGCGAGGCAGAAGAATGATTGTAAGTGTCCTTATAATGTACTATTCTATTGCACGTTGAGTAGTACCATTTGATGCATGTACAATACGGTGCACTGTTAAATAATTGTATATTCTCAATTGCAACATTTGCTGTACTGCTTTTACCCCCATATAGAAAACCTGCCTCTACCCCCTTTTCACAGAAAGTTTTTGAGGTGTAATGAAGTAGATAAGGTGTGTTGAAATGAGACATGTGAGCTCCTTCACCTTTAGAGTTCCCAAAGCCTAAAATCCCGGGAGAAATACTGAAAAAAAAAAAATAGAGCAACAGAGTATAGGATTTACTGAAACAATAGGACTGCCATGCTTTATAATGATCAGATGTGGCATGGAAATTATATGAGATTCCGTCGCTTAAGTATTGTATGGAAGAACTAGCCAACATCGAGAATCATTTAGTCAATACCCATCACTTAGCTGACGCAAGCAAACATTAACTGAGTGCTAGTTCAAGTAGAGGTGTATGCGGTAAGCCAGATGGCAGGTTTTGTGGCAACTGTAGAGACTTACTCTCGTTCAGCTTCGATCGTTCTTTGGTATACTTGTGACGTAGCCGAGCATTGATTGGCCATTAATAAATAAATAAATACTACCCTTCGAAAGAATGTGCCCACAATTGTGCGCACCAAGTTTAAAAATGAAAAGTTGTGACCAGTCATGAGCATGATTACATTTGTTCTTTCGTGTCATACCCTTATTGCTTTTTTGTTTCCATATCAACTTTTGCAAGAGCAGAATCACACAGTGCTCTCTTATATAAATAGGTCAACAAGATAAGTAAAGTTCACCGACTCTTGTAAATTTCTTCCTGCTCCATTCGTACTCTCCATAATTTCGCTCAAAAGAATTCGTTAGAATTTAGACTCGCTAAAGTCAAGTTCAGCTGCACTGATTCAGACTCGCTTTCCGAGGGCCCACCCAGACACAAGACCCCCAATAATTCTGCGCAGGTGGCTCACTAACGTCTACCGTCATTGTACTGAGACGTGGGCTTTGACTTTAATATCCAGTAATTAACCTTTAGAACAAGTGGGAAAAAAGACAGGGACTCTGTAAGAAACCGATTTAGACTTGTTCAAGCATGACTTTCAACAAACCGTCTCAAATTTAAATTCTTTTAAATCCATCTTAGATAGAGGCTTAGTGGAGACGTATACCGGTCTGAGCAACACTGCCAGCCCGTGTTCTCATGTTGACCAACACAGGCTCTCCATGAATACTTACTCGTGTAGAGCATGTGTTGGTCGACATTTTAGCATGTTTGTCTCATAACGTAAGGTGCATGTACCCATATCCAATTGTCCCTTACTAAAAACATGTCTCTCTATGTTTTAGAGTGACGTGGTAAGTGTTTGGTGATTTGCGATGTCACGCCGCTATGCTTTATTTATCCAGGATGTAAGGACTGAAATGCATCTGTCCAATATATTTCTAATCTCGCTTTCCCCAATGTCTGGCTCTAAGGTTATGTTCTTGGTGATCTCTGATCATGACTAAACTTCCATGTGACGTGAATTCTCAACTGATAACGGGCATCCTCGGCACGGTTGTTTGATTTTGCCGTTGTTTTAAACGCCTCTTATCAAGGGAGCACCTACTGCGAGTTTGTCAGCAAATATATATATATATATATATATATATATATATATAGGCAGGCATGGTGGTTGAGTGGCCGTAGCGTTGCATATAGTCCAGTAGATCCTCCGTGAGCAGTCACAACGTGGTTTATTTCGACGTTTCGGCCTAGAGTCTGGCCTTCATCAGGATTAAAGATACAGTTTGTTGGTGCTCAGCTTTATACAATCTCAAATCAGAGGGCAAGGAAAGAGGAAAAAAAGAAAAAAAAGAAAAGGGAAAGAAAAAAAAAAGAGAAGAAGAGAAAAATAATATAGGGTGGACACCCCTCAGGTGCCCCCCTTCCACTCTTTCTTCCACTTCCCCCTTCATCTCTCTCCCCCATCTCCCCTTCACCTTTCTGATGTCAGCGGTCTGTGTATGTTTCCGTTCACTAACGCATTCCTCCCGATCAGACGGCCCCTCCTGGCACTGGCGGTTCCGTGTGGGGCAAAAAAGAGCTTTTCAGGAAGTCCTAAGCCTTTAACTACTCGGGGTCCTCTAAACAATTCGTCGTAGAAGGAGGGGTGCCGCGTATTGTGGCAGAGGCTGGTAAGCGGGCATTTTGGGAAGTTCTCAACCCTGTGCAGGCCTCCCGGCTGTGCACAGGGTTGCTGTTGGGCATGTCGTGCATGGCACAATTGATTGGGTAGTAAAATAAAACAGAAAACAGACGACAGCTGCACTTAGGAAAAGTAGTTACACTTGGAATTGTTTTTGGTTGTCCAGTGCCCTTCGCAGCTGCAGTGCCGTGAACTCAGTCACTATTTTCATTGTTGCCGTTATTGTTTTCTAATGCTTTAATTGCTGCAAGTGTACCAGGATTCTCATTTATTCCTCTATCGAGGGTGTTAAATCGGTGGATAAGGTATGACTCTCGTTCACGTTCTCGATTTGATTTAAATCCCGTCTCTAAGAGCGTTACTGATAGTTTGTCGAATGCATGGTCGGGAAGTTTGAGATGTTTTGATAGAGGTAGACTTGGGGCTGATTTCGCATGGGCTCTGTGATTATTGAAGCGAATCCTAAATGGTGTTTCTGTTTGTCCGATGTACTGCATACCACACACGTTGCATTCGAGTAGGTACACCACATTAGAGGAATCGCATGTTAGGTTTCCTCGTATATTAATCGAAAACTTGGATTGCGTGCTGGTTGCTTTGTCTGTTTCTCGCATCGCCTTACATACAAGACATCGTGGCTTTAAGCAAGGGCGGCATGAATTATGGGGGGGGTGATGTGTTAATTTGGGAGTGGACAAGGGTGTCTTTGAGGTTACGTGGTCGTCGGTAAACGACGCCTGGAGCGGATGGGAATGCGCGTTTCAGACGTTCACTTTGTTCCAGAATGTTGTAATGTCGTTTAAGGATTTTGTTTACATTGGGGAAGTTTGTGCTGTAAGTCAAGCAGAGGTTTGTTCGTTGTGGGTCTTCTCGTGGTGGTCGCTTTTTGAACAGCGTCATTAATTACATGTGGGGGGTATTTTTGTTTCTCGAGCATAAGTTTTAGCCTCTGTGAGCTCGTGTCAAAGTCAGCGTCTCCAGAGCAGATTCGCTTAAACCGGTGAGCCTGGCTGTATGGAATACTGTTTTTACAGTGGCGTGGGTGATCGCTTTGGTAATGGAGGTATTGTTGTCGATACGTTGGTTTGTAATATAGGGTTGTAGAGAGCTTCTCTTCTTCTATCGTTATGGTAACATCAAGAAAATTTACGGTAACTTGCGAGTATGTGTGTGTGAAGTGTATGTTCGGATGTACAGCATTGTAAGTGTCGATAAAGCTGAGAAGTTGGTCCTCGCTGTGGGTCCAAATAAGAAAGATGTCGTCTATGTATCTTCTGCCTATGTAACTTTGTGCAAGAAATTCAGATTCTAGCTTTCCCATAAATATGTTGGCATAATTAGGTGCCATTCTGGTGCCCATAGCGGTCCCGCTGATTTGTCGAAAATACTCTTGGTTAAACTCGAATGGTTAAACTCGAATGGCCAGTGCCAGGAGGGGCCGTCTGATCGGGAGGAATGCGTTAGTGAACGGAAACATACACAGACTGCTGACATCAGAAAGGTGAAGGGGAGATGGGGGAGAGAGATGAAGGGGGAAGTGGAAGGAAGAGTGGAAGGGGGGCACCCGAGGGGCGTCCACCCTATATTATTTTTCTCTTCCTCTCTTTTTTTCTTTTTTTTCTTTCCTTTTTCTTTTTTTTCTTTTTTTCCTCTTTCCTTGCCCTTTGATTTGAGATTGTATAAAGCTGAGCACCAACAAACTGTATCTTTAATCCTGATGAAGGCCAGACTCTAGGCCGAAACGTCGAAATAAACCACGTTGTGACCGCTCACGGAAGATCTACTGGACTATATATATATATATATATATATATATATATATATATATATATATATATATATATATATATTATTAGGGAAAGAAGTGTATACTTAAGGGCTCGTTTTTCTGTGTTTTGAAAGTCGCAGGTTTGGTTCCTGCTCACGGCAAGTTTTCTTTTCACCCACTTTTCTTTCTTCACATTTACATTACAATTGAGTCTAACAACTTCCCCTATACATTCCTTGGCATTACTGTCTGTATGATCTCATTATACACACACACACACACACACACACACACACACACACACACACACACACACACGCGCGGCTGGTTATTTTTCCATCCACTTTTCTTTCTTCTTATTTACATTCCATTGGTTCTAATAGCTTCCCCTGTACATTCTTTGGCATTACTGTCTGTTAGATCTCATTAATATTGTGTTAAAAACACGGAAAAACGAGCCCTTAGGTATACACTTTTATGTGTGTGTGTGGGGGGGGGGGGGGGGGGGGGCTCATACCTGGCTCATACCCCATGTTTATTCCATCTTACTTCTTCCTCATCTTCTACCAACCATCGCTTCATACGTCACAGGATTCCCCCTTCTCCCGAAAGAAGGCATGGATTACGAACGAGAAGTAGTAAACAAAGAGAGATTGAAAAGTCACAAATGTCAAAATTCATAATCGGTTCTATGCTTCAGGGTAGTTCCGTAAACTTTCAAAGACTTCAGGAGATAGTACAGCAGTCCGGTTTACGCAGGAGTTCTGGTTAGCGAGGCTGACTGTGGCCATCCGGAGAAGATAACCACGTCCTGCACAACTGCACTGACCATGACACGGCTTCAGCAGCTGCGAAGAACCAATGAGGCTGGACATCCTTGTAGAATTTGAAGGTCGGACGTCGTATGCGCCGAGTTTTCTGCCACGGGTGCTGTATTCTTTGTCGTGGCTGAGACGGAAGCATTGCTTCAGGATTGCGTTCGCGAGATCCGAAGTTGATGATACGATGTCTGTGTACCAGCGATTAGCAAATGGTAACGTTCAGTCTCTTTCGTGGTTTTGTGTGGTGGTATCCCTATCCGTAGGATTGTACATGAAGCCTTGATATCTCGTACAGAAGACTTCCTTGACGTTTCCTTCTACGAATATGGCTCAGATGTTGACTTGGTCTTTCCTTTAGTTGGTGTCGTTTCTGACGACCATCCTTAAGCCACAGATCTGCTTGTGATCTCATTTTAGTTCGTCGTTGTGCTTGATGTAACTGCCGTAGTTTCCGGAGTTCTTTGAGTTCTTGATGGCACTGCTGATGTTGCGGAATCTTACGAGGTGGTACTCCTTTAGTAACACGAGCCTGCTTTTTCTTCATAGTTTATGTGACTAGTAGATAGTTGGTAGTCGTTGGGTTGTCGTGATTCGCAAAAGAAAGTAAAGGTGGTGCACTAGAATCGACAGGGAGGTCTTTGGAGGCTCTTGCAACGCCGTTCTTAATAGACGCTTCTGGTACAGGGCAGTGCTTGAGAGTTGATTCTTCCGAGCCTACTGTGTTCGTTGAACTCTTAGGTGGCTGGGAACTCGACAGCGACACTGACAAACGCTTGATTTGGTCGGATTTTGCTTGGGATTGTTTCTCTGTCTGCGCAACTTTGCAGGTTGACTGTTCTGATGCATGAATATGGACTGTAGACCCTGGGCTTGGCTGAGTATATTCGGAGTTCCTCAGCTGTATACCAATTATAGCGAGCGTGTGAGGCATGAGGTGGGCGTTGTGAGTAACTAAAGAGCAAAGTGACGGAAAACCAGGTGGTGGGCCAAGTGTACTATGAGGGGAGTACAGTGCACTGGATGGTTCGGTAACACGAGTCCTATGGTGCAGTAATGATGTAGAGGTCAATTGTCGTGCCGTAGCAAAACAAGGTGGAAGATTAACTCTTCGTGGAAATAGACCTTGATGTCTTTCAGTGAGCGGATGTTTGAATAGGTCTTGTCGGAATGGGAATGGCCGACTCGATTTGGCTGTTTTAGTGCTTGAAGACTGCTGGTGGTTGTGACAACTGAGATCGATTGCCTTCAGGTCACGGGTTGTAAGTGAATCTTCATCGTAATCTTTAAATCGAATGATCATTTTTCTTTGATTTTTTGCCATGATTCGTCGTTTTCAAATATGTTGGTGAGGTAAAATTTGAAAGCCTCACCGGAGACGTAGTCGGTGAAGTTGATGACCATCTCCTGTTCCGACCATGATGCAGCGGTGTACTTGGGGATGGTCGGTCGATGATTCTGTCATGGTGCTGGTCTCTGTGTGCGGCTAGGAGATGATTCCGTAGTCGATGTATGGTCAGGGCGTCTTGTGGAGAACTGCGTCGATGATGAGACACTGATGAAGTGGCTGGGAGGTCCTCATCCTGCGGACTCGTGTGACGCTATGATGAATGGGTGACGTTGCCTGGCTCATACCCCATGTTCATTCCATCTTACTTCTTCCTCATCTTCTAATAACCATCGCTTCATACGTCACATATATATATGTATATGCAGAAACATTTTAATTAGAATTCTTGCAAAATGGGACATATTTTTGTGGTTCTTTCAGGTTCTATTAACAAGCATTTACTTTAGTATGTCCTTTTATGCATGGATAAAAAAATGAACAATGCAGTGAGACACTTGTACGATCAAGTTTGCACTAGAATTATGAATTATAGGCTGCATTAACTAAGTTTTTAATAGCAAATCTGTTTGCAGTTTCTTATTAGAACCTGTACTGTGCCAGCTTCCTACTCTAGCTGTGCATTGAATCGCAATGATGTAGGAACGATGCCACAGTGCGAGTTCACAGCGCTCGCCTTTGCGAGTGCCGTGAGCTCACTTTGTGAGTTGTCCATTGATTGCCTGAGTTCGCTTCTGCAGTCTGTTTGCAAAGGCAGCACATGCAGCCACAGTGGCTTGCCGGTCCATGCTGGTTTTCGTTACTCGTCGGTAGTGTCGGTGCCGTGAAACTTTGACCAGCATTTCAGAAAGCCTGCAAGTGTCGCACATTTCTTCGTAATCTTCTGGTAGTGTTCTTGCTTTCTACATTTAAACATACGTAATCGCTCATGAAACTGTGCATTGTGTAGATATCTTTGTACTGAACTCCGGTTTTTAGACATTCATGTCTTAAAGGGATCCTGAAACACTGCTCGAACATAGTCAGAAAATGCTGCTGATTGGTACTCGAAGCTGCTGCGAACATGTGTTAAATATTGCAGCTCGGTGGGTGGCAAGGAAATTACAATGCAATGTCAATATTTCTCACCCATATCTCGGCAAAGGATGTCATACACCCAAAAGTACATGGACACGGCCATTGGTTGATGAGAGCATCGCGGGCTAGTTGCTGCTAGCGGCGTTGGTTGATGCGACTTTGTGGTGTGGGTGCGATGTGTCCACGCCGTATCCTACTACAGTGCACTCATGATGGCACTGGAAAAAAAATCGCAGCATATCCACGGAGTGAATGGTGATTGGTGGGGCGAAGCCTTCGTCCGCCCATTTGTCCATGCATCCATCCGTGTGAGCCGTCCGTGCGTCCCTCTATGTGTGCATTCTTTCGTCTGTCCGTCTATCTGTATGTCTGTACGTCTCTCTAGTGAACACTTCAAGTACAGCCATCTCAGATCTTTTCATCATGTATTCATCATACACAAGTGCCACCATCCAGTGGACATTTTAAGGACCGCTTTTTTGGGTATGTGCCACCGGAGGCTACCTACACCATAGGAGGATGGACAGACCCGCACCCTAAGGAGCTTCGCCCCAAAGAGTGCTTTACCGTACTATGGCATGTGCTGTCTTACGGTCGTCATCCCCGCTTTGGTGTACAGCTTTCAGGGCATCGGCTGGAATGGAAGAAGAGAGAAAGCGTCTAAAGCGTGCGACAAACCTTTGTAAATATGCTCATGCGTGGTTAGTTGTGAAATTGTCTGCAGCAGTCATTTTATTCGTGGGGCAATCAACTCCGATGGTGAGGTAATTTGATGATTACTTTAAAAAGTTTTGCAGGGCTGCTTTAAGCGGTTGCCGTAGGAGCATAGGGAAAAGATGCATTGTTTATGACATTTTGAAGTGAACTGGCTTGATATTTTCGTTTGCTTCTTGCAGTGCTTGTGTGACCAACAACTGCCTTTGGAACATTGAAACAACGCCTCGGGATGTTCGTATTGTACATAGAAATCTGGACGTTTTGTGACGGCTCAAGTCATCAGACCCGCAGAAGCTCAGGGACGCATCTCGTTTCCGAATGAGCATTTATCACTGTACAGGGCTTTCAGCCTGGATGCTTTTGTTTTTCACTTTGTGTCTTTTGGGCTGCATGGCTTTTGCATTTTTTTAGTACAGTTCTTAAGACGTGTGAAGTACTTAAACTGCCCTGCTTTGTCATGCCACGAACCCGCATGGCCCAGCAATTTTCGAGCCATTTCATGGACTGTTCGGTGTGCAGCTTGAAAGCCTTTTTTTTTTTAAATAAACGCTGCTTGCACATCATGTTGACTTGTAAATAAACATTGTTTACCAACAACATATAGATGTGCCTTACTTTTGTGCCTGCTACAGCAAGAAACAACTTTGAGAGTCTTGTGTGTCACATTTGTCACATGTAAGTATTTGGAAGTATTTGGAATGTGAGTCATTTGTTGAATTTTGAAATACATATACACTATGGCACTCTTTACAGGAACACATTCAACCATGAAGTATGGCTTGTTGAAGGAGACTTCTGTGCTTTCCTGTGTATACATCTTTTTTTTTACAACTTCAAGCTTATGCCCAACCTTGCCTGTTAAAATGAATATGCAATATACTAGCATTATGCACTATGAAAGAGTTACTGGAGACCTTGAACCAGGCAAAAGTAAGCAGTTACTCTTTCTAAAGGCTTTGAAAATGACTTCTTGACTGTATAGTATGGGGATGTTTGTTAAAGAGCTCGTTTCCAGGAATCTGGTGTGGTTATATGAGCGAAAAATTCTGGGTCGGAGCGGATACTGAACCAGGGTCATTGGGGTCAAAGTGGGAATCGAACCCGGGTCGTTTGTGTGTCAAGCGGTTCTTCTACGGTACGGCAACGCGTCTGCTTGTTAATACAGCGAAAAGAACTTCTCTGCTTAGAAATGCAGTGAAAGTAGCTTTCATGCTTTACTAACGTGCGGGTCCTGTATACATGCTTCACAATGCGACATGAAATATTGCAGTAACAATGCGTGGTAGGGGTGTCAGAACATGCGATTACCATAATGGCTTTGTGGTTTAAAGCCAGCCACCCACTACAGAAGGAACACACGCTACTGCGCCTATTTCACGTCGAGTTTTCCAGTCCGACTGCAGCGCCAGAATGCATAGCCTAGCGGATAAAAAAAGCAACCTTGAGACGGCCTCGGTGAGGATGGAACGCGACACGCGCGTCTCGCGCCCTGCATCTGTCGGCGGATTGCGGCCGGTATACATGGGGGACGCGCGCACGCGTCTATTTTCTGCGTGCCCCTAACGGCGAATGTCAAAGACTTTGAGACGGACCAGTGTGAGCAACGCAGCTCCCTCTGGTCAGTTTGAACAGGTTTCATGCACGGCAAGGTTCCATTTGGCGTTGCATAAGTGGTTGCCAGACTGGAAGGGTGGTTGTTGCCAGACTGCTGCTAAATATGGCAGAAAAATTTTTTTTTTGTAGTTGTGGCTTCTCCGCAAGAGTTTGGTGCTATCCGCGGTGCACTTCTTCGGTGCGGAGCCTAGCAGAAGTCGAGCGCGGTGCTGCTGTGCAATTAAGAGGCCGTTTCAATTCCGTTTTAATTAACGGAAGGAACCGAGCCTAGCAGAAGTCGAGCGCGGTGCTGCCGTGCAATTAAGATGCCGTTTCAATTCCGTTTTATTTAACGGAAGGAACCGAGCCTAGCAGAAGTCGAGCGCGGTGCTGCCGTGCAATTAAGATGCCGTTTCAATTCCGTTTTATTTAACGGAAGGAACCGAGCCTAGCAGAAGTCGAGCGCGGCGCTGCTGCGCAATTAAGAGGCCGTTTTAATTAACGGAATAAACCTCCCATTACAGAAGTCGAGGCGCGTTCTCTTGCTGTGTGCGCAGCTGTGCGATTAAGATATCGCGTCTCAGTATTAGGGATTACGGGGAAAACTGATTAGAGTCGCAGGAGGGGATGCGCTGCCCCCCTTCCCCCTTACTTGTCTTTTTTTTTTCTCTCTCAGCTGATCGTGTCGCGTCGACCGCGCGCTACGACGGGGGACGCTACGCTTCCGCGGATAGCACCAAACTCTTACGAAAAAGCCACAACTACAAGAGAAAAATTTTCTGCCAAATTTAGCGGCAGTCTGGCAACAACCACCCCAAAGTCTGGCAACAAACTTATGCAACGCCAAATGGAACCTTGCCTCATGCACTAAGTGCTTGAAGTGCACACTAGGAACATGATATGGCTATCGCGGTCAACTAATATAGGCGAAGCTTTAGGGTCCTCCCATTTTTTCTAGTACTACAGAGATCTGAGCGTCCAACAGCGCGTCCAACAGCGTAGGTTCAGCCTTCTTTAATTTTCTTGGTCTTGTAGTTCTGCTGGTGCATTCGCATTGTGTTTACCTTGTTATTGTAGCAACGTTGGCGGAAACTTGTGTTGCCGTCTAGCGGCGAACATTGTAGGTAGCCCGGAAGCGGTCAATCAACATGGCGGCGCCCAGGCCTTCGCTACCGATCTACTGTTATAGTGCCTAGAATATACTGTGAAACGGCCTCAACCGTATGCTCTAGAGAACATTACCGCAATATACGTTTTTATTTCGCGTCCGCGATGGCAACCAAGTGTTCCTGCAAGGGCGTCAGAACGTGCCTCGCTTGCGAGCAAGTTAAGGAGCCCAGCAAGCACGCCATATCCAAACGAAAGGTGCGTCATCCGTTCACCTTTTGCACCGACTGCCAGCTCTGTTGGCCGGGATGGATCGACGATAGCGGCGGTGACGAGTCGACCGACAGTACTGCGGACATGCCCCCGCTCAAAGTGTCGGGCATCGAGGTCTACGAGGACTTCCTGACGTGCGAAGAAGAGTCATACCTGGTGAACGGCATCGACTCGCGCGAATGGGTCGGCTCGCAGTCGGGTCGCCTCAAGCAGGACTTCGGTCCCCGCGTCAACTTCAAGAAGAAAAGAGTCAGGGCCGGCGAGTTTTCCGGCCTGCCGGCGTACTTCACGAGCGTCGAGCGAAAGATGAACCGCTGCGCGGTCGTCTCCGACTTCGAGGCGGTCGAACTGTGCAACCTCGACTACAATCCTAAGCGCGGTTCGTGCATCGACCCTCACTACGACGACTGGTGGCTGTGGGGTCACCGGCTGGTGACCTTTAACCTCTTGTCGGACACGGTGTTGACCCTGTCCCGACCCGAGCAGCACTGGATGCTCACCGACGAGGACCTGATAGATGAACCGTCGTCCCCGGCGGTCGACTACAGTCCGCAGCGCCCCTTGACGGTGGTCCACGACAGAAGCGTCTGTAAGACGTGGAGCGAGGACTTCAAGGACTCCGTGTCGACGCGGACTCCTCCGCGATTGTGCGCCGTGCAGGTGGCGCTACCGCGGCGCTCAATGCTGGTGCTGTACGGTGACGCACGCTACAAGTGGCACCACTCGATACTCAGGGAGGACGTTTCGGGTCGCCGGGTCGCCATGACGGTGCGAGAGCTGTCCGAGGAGTTTCTCGAAGGTGGCGCGTCGGCCGACGTCGGCGCTGAGTTGCTCGACATCGCAAAGTTGCGTGTGTGAACAAGTCGACTGATTGCACGAGACGTCATAGACGCCCTAGTTTTCTTTAACATTCTCGTGCTCCAATATGGCGATGTAAATGACGTCAAGGCAGCCTAATCGCGTGGCATTAAGCCCTGTGACGATTACCGTGGAACGTTGTTGCCACCTGCTCACAAATAATAAAAGATTGTGCAGATGATGTACTCACAACCTTTGAGTGACTCTACAAACGTGTCTCACCGTGTGAGTGCACCAATGGGGCTGTTTTAGTGGCGTCAATGCAAGCCATCTGCAGATTGCTTGAACTGACGTCACCAAAGCCACCATTTTGAAGCACCAGGATGGGAGGTGCGAAATTTTTGATGGGAAATTAACGTTATCAAACTATCATGTGCAAATTGCTTTGTTATTTACGCACAGAGATGTTCCTGCCATGCTATCACATTGAAGAAGGTTAACCGTCGCTTGTTGTTTATCAAAACAGCCATTTCGGAGTGTTATTACGTTCAGAATCTGTGTCCATGAAGTCATGTGCAGGCAAACTATAAACTTTAACACACTGCATTGAAGGGCTAGTTAGTGCATCTTCATTGTCACTTTTTAGTGCAACAAAAAACATTGCAGGGTTGATAGAAGCACTGTGTCCTGTCGTTTTGTTGTGCTAAAAGTTACTATGAACCAATAGGCAGAATATGTTTGTTTTCCTTTTGGGGAGAAGCCACGCAATGAGTGTAATTGTTGGTCTTGTAGTTGAAATTGGGAATAGTAGTTACAAGCATAGAGTTTTCTGAAATAAACTAGCGGGGACTTAGGCGCTGGGATCATTTAGCGACCGTGAAAATGATGGGTAGTACACAGATTTGCCTAGTCTTCGTGCTTTGTAGGCCTTGAACGCACTTGTGGCTTCGTTTATTGCTGCGTTTTGGTTTTGTTTTCAATGAAAGAAGGGATGGTTATAATCTTCATGAGCTGATTTGAAAAGGGGATACCAAAAGCTTAAAGTGATGAAGTGCAACTACTGAACCTTTGCTAATTTTTGTTTCGTGACAAATCAACTTCAAGCCACGCAAAGCCAACCGGAGCTGAAAGTACGAAAATGAAACGTGTACTATCCATCATTCCCATGTTCACTGAAGCACCATGTGTTGCAGCTCCCATAGACAATAGCACCAGAGTTCCTTCTAGTGTATTCATAAGAAACTCTATGGTTATAAGAGCATATTGGTACAAAGGCATACTACTACTAACAGATCGAAAACAGGGGAAAAAGCACTTACATGTAGTACAGGTTTATTGCTTTTGTGTGAGAAGCCAGTGCTGGAAGCGGGTGCCTGTACTAAACCTGTTGAGGTTTGGTAAAAGGTTGGTGGCACTACAGACGAAAAAAATGGGGGCTGTTGTGTTTCACACTGCACCCACTCGCCACATGGCTTGGTGGTTCTGTGTGGCAGGTTGCCTTACACCCCAAGCAATCAAGGATGTCGGTGCAGAGTATGCTGGTGTAAGGTCCTAAGCACAGTTATTGTGAATGGGTGACTGTTTGGCCAAGCTGTTTGTAAAGCGGTGACTGGTGACTGTTTGTAAAGCGCAAATGTAGCCAGCGTGGCCGTGGATGAAAAATTGCACAGCTGTACAGTTTCGTGATACTGGAATATATGCAGCCAACATTGTCAAGCAAGGTGCCTTAGTAATGACTTTTCGCTGCAAATAAAATATTTTAGGTGTGCAAAGGCCATCGATAGTGGGTTCAATGGCATTCATTTCTTATATCACTCGCGTTTTCACTCTGCTTGTAGTAGTATGTCTTCATTTTCTCATTGTTTGTTGTGCAGTAAATGGGTTTGAACATGTCTAGGGTGCAAGGCAAGTCTCTCTTGTCAGACCTGGTGAACATATCTAGTCCTGGGCACTTTTAACATCAAGCATTCTATTGCTCTTTTGCTTTCTTTTTTTTTTCTTTTTTGCCTGCTGATTGTCAATGTTTGAGTGCATTTCGTGCCATTTATAGACTGTACTGGAGAATCAGAACATGCCCAAATATGCAAAACAACAATGTGGATATTAAATACTGAAGTAATCTCGAGGTGAAGTAAGGTTTAAGTTCAAACACCTTTAGTTTTGTTCAGTTCGTTCTCTCAACTGCCAGCATAATAGCCGAGGATAAACTTCTGGTGGCAGTTCGCACGGATTTCGTCAGCTTGTGCGTTGGGTACTGGTAACCAGTGTAAACAGTGTGTCATATTTTGTGTAAATTGGCAGTGTCCTCCCTGACACGAAACTTGGGATTCAGTTACACTCATCACTCAGGAGCTTGCCGAGCACGCAGCTTTTCAGAAAAGCGCTTGCGTGAGCTTTTGTATTTATTGATTTATTTAAACATACTACAGCCTAGACTAGGCTAGTGAATGAGTAAGTTTTTTCATAAAATGTGAAAAAACAAACATGTCTTAGCAACTCATTCACAAATTATGCAAAAATAGAGAAAAACATTTTGAGTGTGGCGAAAGATTTCTTTGGTGGTAAGGAAAGTATATCAGCGATAAAAGGTTCCAGCAGTATGTAAACAAAAAGGTATTTTATTGCTAGTGCAAGTAGAAAACAGTTTTAGTGATAAGTTCACAGTAACTGCAGGTTAGACACGGGTGACATACTGTTAAGTATCTGTTGTTTGAGAGGTTACAACAAGAGTTCGGGATGCTGCGCATAACCTTCGACGAATCGGTTTAGAACAACCAGTGTTGGTAAGTTAATGAAGGTAGAGCAAAGTGCAGCCCACTGATCGCCCTAGCTCAAGTTTCGATAATTCATCAGCCCCCTTGGGTGGTATCCTGGGTCCTCCCTTTCAACATGATTACATTTGAAAGCTAGTTGATTTTACCCAACGAAATCACACTAGGGCCACAAGCTTGCAGCATGTTTCTCTTCTTCTTCATTATCCTGCTTGAGAAGTAACAAGCAGCGAAATTTAACCATTTTGACATTACCTTTATGAACCAAGTTTCCAGAGGCCTCCATAGGTCAACCGCACATGTAGAAACGCACGTTGACATTGTGTGATACAGTAGGCGTGCATTAGATGCTTTACATGGTGCCTTGCCAATTTCAAACAAATAGGCTTTAGAGTTCCATCGATCAGTCTAGTTGGAGCATGCCTGTTCATTGCCAGAGAGTTCTAGAAATGCTTTGCACATGCTCTGCTTACATGTCGTGCGATCAGGTAGCTGCCTAAGATGTGTACCAACATTTTTAACGAGCAGGTCTTCCAACAATGTGCATACTGTGTAGGTGTGACACCTTAAAACGTGTCGATGCTCATTTCGCTTAGTGGGCTTCGTAGTAGGGCGCGGGCAGCATTCGATGCTTGTTGAAGTTGAAGTTTATTTTAGGCAAAAGAAAAAGCGACACATTAAAATAAGATGTAGCAAATTGCCTTTTTGCCTGCAGGACCGGCGAAAAGGCATAAAAGCCTGACAAAGTGCCTGCCCCCTGTAAACCCAAACCCACCAAAATAACATAATGCTCAGCGTAAAATTAAACACAAATGTATTGCTACGTGCAAATCATATCTGTGCGAGGGTAAACAAAATATATGATAGAAATTTGCTCAGGTAATGACATCCACAAAGCATCTACGAGAACAAATAACGAAAAACAGTATATATAGAATATACTCAGACGCTAATGTGATTTACATTAGGATACATAAAAGACCGGACATAAAATTTTAATACTAAAGTAAAAAAATAATGATGACGGTGTTTATATTTGCGTAGACAGTAAGTGAGCCTGTATCTTCCTTTTAAAATTGCCGTATGAGCCAGTATCGTTAATAAAAGTAGCTAGAGTCGGGTGTTCATTCAAAAAATGTGAAATTTAGTACAATACTTTTTCTGTGCCGTAATTGGTACCTGGTTTTCATATGTATATGACCTATGCCGTAAATTGTGACCACGATCTCTCGGTAAATTCCTTTGCTAAAACACTGAACGATCAGATCGTACCTGTTTATAATTAAGTATAGGCAATTTTCGTTTCATGACGTTGGTTATCGTTAGTATTTTATGTTCCTTGAAGAGAGGCGCGGTGTGATGCCTGAATGATACCCCTGATATTAGTCATACAGCTTTTTTTTTTGTAAGATGTGAATTTTATCAGTGTTTGCCTTAGTCCTAATTCTCCATACAAAAAGACAGTAATGGAGATGTGAGGAAACAATTGATTAATATAGTTGTTTTCTTAACTACAGAGGGAGAGGTTGCAATTTGCGGATTATACCCGAGGATCTGGAAATCTTTGTACGAACAGGGTTGGAGTGTAAAAACCAATCTAAGTGTTCTTGAAAAAAAAATACCAAGAAATTTATGCACTCTGACACGTTAAATTTTTTGTCGTACAAATGATATTGTATGCTCATTTTCGATAGTCTTGTTGCATGGTCAGAATAGAACATATTTAGTTTTTTTTGGTGTTTAGTTCTTATCTATTACTGCTGAGCCATTCGGATAAATTTATCAGCCACAGGTTTGCTTGTTTCAAGGCGATTGAGGCAGTTGCCAGAGAAGAATACATTGGTATCATCAGCATATAGAACTACATCCGGTGTTAGTGGTATATTAGGTAGATCACTTGATGTGAATTAAGAAAAGCAAAGGCCCTAAGAATTATCCTTGTGGGACGCTGCAAGTGATATAACCTATGTTAGATTTAGTGTCACCGAGACTAGTGTACTGCTGTCGGTTACTTATATAGCTTTTGATAAGATCTAGAGCATTTCTTCTAATTCCGTATGGAGAGAGTTTCAGTAATAAAATATCGTGTTTAACCGAATCAAACGCTTTCCTGAAGTCGAAAAAAATTCCTAAGTTAAATAATTTATGTTCGAAATTATCAAGCATTTTTTCTTTAATATCCAACAGCGCTGTTTCAGCAGATTTTTTTCTTTTGGAAGCCATACCTGCTGTTGTACAATCACATTATCTTGTAATAAGTAATTCGAGGGTCGTAGGTTTATAACCTGCTCAAAAATTTTAGAGAATATGGGTAATAATGAAATAGGCCTATAGTTATTAAGGTCGTATTTATTACCGCCTTTAAAGATGACAGATACCTTTGCGATCTTTAGTTCATCAAGGAAAATACCTGAACCTAAGAATTGCATTAGCGATACGCGACAGCGGCTTACTTATAATATGGGCAACTGCTTTAACTAGGCTGAGGTTTCAGGTCATCCGCGCCACATGCGCAGTTATTTTTTAAGTTTTACAATAGTTTGTATACTTCATAATCGGACGTGGGAACCAGGAAAACAGACGATGAAATGTCGCCAATTACGTAAGAAGTACGATTGCTAATGTCCTCGATAGCAGTCCCAGAATCGCCTGCTCTAAGGAAGTGTTCATTGAACTTATTAGCAAGTGGTGCAACTGAGCATGGTTCACCGTCTATCACGAGCTCCGATATAACCGATTTATCGTACTTGCCCATAAGGTCATTCACTTTTTTCCAAACCTTTTTGGAATCAGTGCGATATGCCAGTAAAGATATTTTCAGTAGAAAGCGGCAGGCGCTTGTTTAATATCAGAGCCTAGTTTATTTCTAATTTTTTATGCGTAGCTAATGTGTCTAGATCTTTTGTTCTCATAAATACACTAGATAGCTTATCGCAGCTCTTTTATTTTTTTTTTAAGAGATCTGAATCTATCCATGGTTTTCCTTGACCGACGGGTTTTCCTAATCTCTGCTATAGGAAATGCTTTGTTATAGAGACATTTGATGATATTTTGAAAGAGGCGG